TCCATTCATGAAGAATGAGAACTTCTGATAAATGTGAAAATATGAATCCATTCTCTAAAGGGAATGAGGTGTAAGCCACCATGCTAGGCATGTGAAAGATTGCGACCTTTGATCAATGATGTGGTATTACCAAGAATGTCTCTAAGAAGACATTTATTATAGAAAAGTTTTATGTATCTTCAGGCTTGTATTGGATAAGAATTAATGCAATTGAGGAATATTCTATGGTAAATAAGAAGTTTACTAATTTCAATACTTTCTTAGTTTGACATGATTGTCTGTGACATCGTTAGTCTATAATTTTAGACGAATTATGAAAAATTAAAATGGACATCCATGGAAGAAACTAGAAATTCTTTTAAATGGTGAATTCTTTTATACTACTTGTTAGCAAGGCTAGCTAATTGTGAGACCATCATAAATGAAAGTTGAGATTGACTCTGCGTTCTAAGAACATATACAAATATTTGTGGACCTAGTCATCCACTTAGTGGATTGATTAGATATTTAATGGTGTCCTAATAAATGTTTCTTCTATATGGTCTCATGTTTTCCTATTATTATCTCGCAACTTGATGTTTGCAAAAATGTTGGCACAAATAACATGCACTACTATAAATTTGACTTACTGCAACGCTTATTTAGCAACGATTATACCATCGTAGCAATAACTCACCTATTACAACGGTTATAACCGTGGCCAAATATCCTTGAATCTATAGAAAAATTCTTAAAATAAATTGTTGTATAATCCCTATAACCGTCCCTATAGAGAATGTATAGCAACAAGTTTTAAAACCGTCGCTATAGATAACTCTATGGCAACAGTTTTTTAGAAAAATAATTCTGATTTTTTAGCCCTAAATAATTTTCCCTCCTAAAAAAATATATTTCCCTCCAATATAATTTCGCAACCTCCTAAAAAAATAATTCTGATAAATTAACTTTTTAAAAAATGTAAAAGAAAAAGAAGAAATTGTTTTCAGAAACCCTTATTTTTTCAGAAACAATGTGAGAGAGCCTTTTTTGGGTGAATCTGCATGTGAAAGGAATTTCTGAAGATTTTGGTGAGAAAAACAAAATTTGTTGGTGAAGCTGTTGGTGAAGCTGTTGGTGAAGCTCGTTGGTGAAGTTCGTTAATGAAGATCGTTGGTGAAGCTATTGGTGAAGCTCGTTGGTGAAGAGCTGTTGGTGAAGTTGTTGGTGAAGCTCGTAGGTGAATCTGTTGCTGAAGCTCGTTGCTAAAGCTCGGTGGTGAAGCTATTGCTCAAGCTCATCGAGGAAAACAACCAGCTCGTTCTTTTTGGTGATGCTTTTGAGGTTCGACTACGAATTCATCTTAAAGGTTAATAATGTTTAAGTTTTCTATGCTAGTTCATGATTTCTAAGTCCCCATTGAATTAATTTTGAAAAATCTTAAAGAATAATGTATGGGTTAGTCTTAAATCTATGTTATTTGCTCCAATATAGTTAGTGTATAAACTTCCCCTGTTTGATTCTGTGATATATAAGAGAGTCGAAATCTAGTGCTTTAAGTTTGTGGATCTGTAAGTATTTCTCTCTGCATTTTTTTTGTTCCAGATGAATTCTTCCTTAATATTCCCCATTTGATGTGAATCTGGACAAAAATTACTCCCAAATTACTTCCCTGTGACCCTGTGTTCTCTCCTCTGTTTTTTGGTATTCATATTGCTGATCTCAACTTGTTTCGAATTAAGTCTTAGTTATCTTCAATTTTGTTTTTGATTATTAAGAGATGTTTAAACTTGAGTATCACTATCGTTTTACTTTGAAATACATTCGGATTCTGATATTGTCTATGTCTTTTGCTTGTTCGATTGAATGTTATCTTCCTTATGAGTCACTGCCAGCATAAACTGTAACGCATAATGCACTTCTGACAATATCATTAAGTCTTTCATCTGCAAATATTTCCGTTAGTCAAACTATGGCATGCTACAAGCACAAAATAAGAAATGATAAATGTTGTATGCATTAACATTTACCTGGTGTTACATAATCAGAGAGATCGAAGTCAATGGCTTCTAAAGGAGAGTTCTCATCCTTAGAAACGAAAAGAAAATTCTGAATAGAACAGAAGAACAACTGTCACTATAATGAGCTTGGAAACCAAGCATACGAAACATAGAGTGACGTAAGAAAGAAATGACACTACATTTGTTCACATATATGGTGGGATTAGAAGAAACCCTGGAAATTTCTATTAGATACCGTAAGAAAACATGCAGATCATAACTAATTTCTTCAGTGGTCTGTCCGAGACACAAACCTCTGTAAGCATTTTCATTTGGTTGAGCTGATTTGACTCTCTCAATACTTTACAGGGGCTTATGCAAAATTGTAATTGGGTTGTCAGAATTCATCGTGTGATATTATGTTACCAAATAACTCATGAATGATCTTTTAATCACCAAATTAGTTGGGCAGGATCCTAGGTATCCATAATGAAATTGCACCTATAAAATGGAAATACTCACTCCGTCTACTGTGAACTTGTTACACATGATTTATATATCAGCTATTAAGTTTTTTTTAAAATCATATCAGTTATTAAGTTGAGAGTAATATAACTACTATGATGACGATGCCTTGAGTGTTTTCTTTGTATACTTGAGGTTATTATTCATGCAGCATGCTATTGTTCTTGCATTCAT